CTGGCCGGAGACTCGGGTCAGTGCCGATTCCTCCCACAGTGATGCTGGGATGTGATCAGCGGCGTGTGGGAAAGTGCCCAGCTGGGAGAGGATGTGGGACAGCTGCACATTAATATTACACACCACATACAAACACACCCCAGGAAAGGAATGTGTACCAAATGTCATTTATTTCACTTGGTTGCATTGTCTTAGCTTCTTTTCCTGATACTTCCTGCAAGCACCCCCCAGAGCAATGGAGACAGACTCTGGTAGATAGCAGGCCAAGTGAGGGTGTTTCCAAACCCTGGGGTGCAGGGAGAAAAGGAAGTGCATGTGCAGGGGGACCGCTGACAGAAACTGCACTCTCATTCCCATGTGTGCTCAGTGTGGCTCTTTTCTCTGGAAACATCTTCAAGCGCCAGTCATGTCTCTGAGCAGACCCCAAATGCAGCCTACCTTTTCAGCAGGGACACGGAACAACACAGGGTGCCAAGAGTAGCCCTTCCCGTTCTGGGGACCCCCGAGTGGCATCCAGCTGCCATTCTGAAAGGGCTCTGGCACCTCTACAGCTAAGAGAAGACAAAGCGGGGCTTCTGGTTCTAAGCACAAACCTCCAGGAAGCCACTCAGATGCCAAACCCTAAAGGAGATAGAGAGTGGGATCCCCCCAACAGACAGGGCTGTCGGCTTGGATGATTTGCACACCGTCACCAAAGAGCAATTGTGGACAAACCAATCTTGCTAAAGAAAGCAAAGCCAAGTTTATGACAATTGAGGCAAGAACTGGGCACTGTCTAGACTGGTTTTATGCTTGGCCTCTGCGGTCATCATTCCTCCTTCCATGCCTCACATCATACTCTCGTTTTGTCCTGATGACATTGGTGGAGACAAAGGACAGAGGAACCAATTCAGTGCTGGCTGCTTTTCGCACCAGGAAAGAAATCCTAAACAAGCAGGTAAAGCCAGCTGTGCTACGGATCACAGTGATGTGAGTCACTGAAATGGCGAATTCCCAAAATTTTTCTCCTTCTTCCCCACGACCTCACCCCATTTGCTTCAGAAATGAGCGGCGAACATGGTCACAGGCAGGGGGGACGTTCTAGACCACACGTCACGTCGGTGCAGGGACAGTCAGAACATCAACCACAGTGGACGTCACTGTTCATGCTCTCCTTTTTCCCCTCCCAGCGTGTCACAGACCCTGAGCCCCATCTCCCATTTCCGGGCGGCACTCACTCCTTCTGAAGGACTCTGAGGTCCCACACTCGCCCCTCAGCTGACCACAGACATGGGACAAGCACCGACGGGATGAAACCAGTAAAGCATTTCGAGCCTCTGGAGAAAAACTCTAAGCAAGTACCAAATAGTATTATTCTTTTCCTGCCAAGCCCTCCCGGCCCCATTCAAGAATAGAAGGAATTATTGACTTTACTTCCCAGGCGAAGTAGAGATGTAATTAGAGCCCTGGAGGTTTCCCCACAAGGCGTCAGCAGGTCAATTTGCTGGCACTTTGAGGAGATAAAACATGAAACTTTCTATTCTGTGCCAAGTGCTCCTTTCTCTGGAATTCAAAGTCATTTTTATGAGTGAAACTAGAAAGAAAGAGAGAAAGGCAACAAAACCAGAGGAGAGCCCTCCAGGTTCTCCCGGCAAACCTCTCAGACTCCAGCAGCCCCCTTCCCCTGAGACAGAGCACAGCCCCACAGCTGCCACGAACACTGAGGCAGAAGTGAGTCCGCTCACAGACTGCAAAGGCTGAGTACAAAGAAAAGTCACAATTCTTAAACCCCTGGATAAGGCATGTGAGAAAGGAAATCTCATTCAAATCCTACTTCAACAAATCTCATTACAACAAATTCTCCACCTCAATATCAATCCAACTTCCCTAATGACTTATGAGAATTTAGTGATCACCTACTATGCGCCAGTTCATGCACTATTCCAACTGGGCCCTGCAGTGATCCATTTCCAACAACAGCCGACTTCACATGTCACGTCCAGACAAACTGCTGGACGGTGGCTTTTACATCCCTCTGTGTTCTCTAAAATGCTCTTTCAGATGGCATCCCCCACACCCTCCGAGGCGCGTCTACACTATCACCTTCTCCACAGGGCTGGATCCGCACCCACCCCACCACCAGCAGTAATTTCTCCCCTTTTGGAACTCCTTCTGTTTATATTTTAAGGGACATGTTATGTGTAACTTCACTACCATTTTTGTGTACTGTGCTATTTCCCCTCCCGGGCCATAAAACACCTGAGATGAAAATCCTAAGGACAGTGCTCAGTGGGTCTTTAAAAATGGCCCCATGTCGTCCTTGTAGCCCACCCCTACTCCAGGTGCGGTTCTCTGGACCGCTGCGCAGCATCCTTTGGAAGCTTACTAGAAAAAGTGTCTCCACCCCAGCCCAGCCCTCCTTGGTCAGAATGTGCATTTTACACATTACGCAGGCGATTCACATGCATGTTAAAGTTTGAGAAGCCCTGTTATATATGATAGATGCTCAGTAGGAATTTTTTTAAGTAATAAGCCACGCTCCACACAAACATCTTCCCTACATGCACCCCGCCCCAGCAGACTGCGGATGAGCTGCGTAAGCCATCTGGAGGTGGTGAGAGTTCTTGGCCCTTGCGCTCACTCTAGCCTGACATCCATCCGGGGGCGGGGGGGTAGGGTGCGTATGCATTCAGCAGCAAGCAACTCACTTGTTCATCACAGAACACTGACTGACTACCGACCCACTACGTGCCAGGCCCTCTGCACATTTCATCAGAACATTCACCTCTCAACACCCTAAACCAGGCTTGCAAGGTTTGGGAGTTTAAACAGGAGGGGGGAGGTATGTGACTCTCTGTGTTAAGTGCCTCCCAGGGTGCTTGCCCACAGACTCCGGGTGGATCAGGAGGGACAGAGCCCCTGACCAGCCCCCGCCTCCAGAACTCAGCTGGCGGCTTGCTGCACCATGGCCTGGTCCTCCATCAAGCAGAGCCCTGCACCGGGGTTTTCTCACACACCAGTACACCTCCCAACCACCCAGAAGGCTTGTGGAACGCGGACGGCCCGGCCTGCCCTCCCAGTTCTCATTGAGGAGACATTCTCATTCTTGACATAGAAACAAGAAAAAAAAATCAGACGGAAACACCAAATAAAGGTGTCTTTGTTCCTTTGGCTTCCCTGATGAGGCGTATCTTATCCAACCTTGTTCCCTTGGGTGTTTCAGAGCTATCTGGAGAAAAGACTAAAGAAGCGAGGCCTTTGTTTAATGAAGCCCGCTGAGAAAACCAAGTCCGGAAAAGTTCACCAGGCCTCGATCAGAAAAAGAGGGCTTGGTTTTCCACTTGTGTCTTCAGTTTTGTGTGTTAGAGCAGAGCTGTGTGCTAAAGGCCCACGCCAGAGAAAGTTAATTTGGGCAGCAGTTGGGAGCTGCAAACCTAGGCTCCCTTCACAGACAAAACTCAGCAGGGGGCACCCTGGTGCAGGCACCGCTCATGTGCTCTCTGCCCACAGCTGTGCGGGGTTCATGGGGGCCCTTGTCTCAGACTCGCTCCTCTCTCCCACCTAGCACCCTCACAAAATCAAGGCCGCCTGTAGAAACAGCAGGAGAGGGGCGCCTGGGTGGCGCAGTCAGTTAAGCGTCCGACTTCAGCCAGGTCACGATCTCGCGGTCCGTGAGTTCGAGCCCCACGTCGGGCTCTGGGCTGATGGCTCAGAGCCTGGACCCTGTTTCTGATTCTGTGTCTCCCTCTCTCTCTGCCCCTCCCCCGTTCATGCTCTGTCTCTCTCTGTCCCCAAAAAATAAATAAACGTTAAAAAAAAAAATTTAAAAGAAACAGCAGGAGAGTTTAGACCTCCACCTGCATTCCCCAATTCCTCCCCCTCCTCCCACCCCGGCGCACTCTAACCCCCACCTCCGTGGTAAATGTACTGACAACATGACACAGCACCAGCTCCGGGTGTGTCCAGAATAGGATCTGCCGCCTCCTGTTGGAGATCACTCATCCCACTCCTGTAGTGCCCCGGTGCCAGTGGTCTGTGACGTATTCACTGGGAACACGAGAAAACGGGTCAAGAAGGTTGAAGGTTCAAGCCTCTAGGCTAAGAATCCTTAAGTCTGCATTCTATTTCCAGACCAATCCTGAGTGTGCTGAACCTGGTTATCACCAGGACTATCTACCAAGTTCCTAAGTGTCTGGGGGAACCTGCATGTTAAGTCCTCTCTCTTCCCCAGATGCAGCAGAAATGGCTGTGGCATCTCGCAATCGGCATCCGAAATCTTGAAGATTCTTCCCAGGACAACCATTCCTGAAATCCTTCCTTTGACCCAGTCTGCTCTATGTCCACTCAGCTCCACGTCAGCTGTTTCTGCTGCAGATCCTACTTTGGGACGGTCATGTTAACTGTTTTTTTGTGGCATCTGACCAACTCCTACATCATCTGGTCTCATGTTACTTTTCCTTTCTAGTATGGATATTTGGGGGCATCTACATGGGAATTTGATACATTTGACCCCTTTGGCACAGCCTGGCATTTCTCAGACTCATCCCATTTTCTCTCTCTGGTCCCGGAGAGTATGAAGTCAAAAAGCTTCTTGGGGACTTATATTTACAGGCATCCCAAGATCAGATAATGCGTCCACCTTACTTTTCTATTCCTGCCACATTGCGCAGCACACAATAGGTGTACAACAAATATTTTTTCAATGGATGAATAAATTATAGATATATCACACTCTAAGCAGGCAGATGATGAGTTAATATAACTTCTATTGTGCAAGTACTCTGAGTATTTCTGGATTATCAACAAATTTATAGCCCAATGATTAATGCTCATAAAGTGCTTTGAAATCCACAAAATAACAGTGCGGTAAAACAGTCAATTGTTATTGAGTGGAGGTGATCAGAGGAACAGACCACACAATTCACTGAGGTGTAGAAGGCAGGTATGAATGAGGATAAAAGAGAAATGGTACATTCCAGAGAAAATGAGAAATAATTAATAAAAAATAAAATAAAACTCACCCTTGTCATAATCATCTTCCTCAACTGCTTTTTCTTGAAGTTTCTGAAGCTTTAATCTTAAGGACTTTACCTATGTTGGTTTGAAGGAGGGGGGGGGGAATGAAAGCCAAATTACAATAGCACTCAAGCAAACTTATTTTTTTTAAGCCAAGAACATTTAGAAACTATTTCAAAACTGAAATTCTTTATTCTCCTTTAAAAAAAGAACCGCAAATGTACATTTTTCCCATGCCAGATGCATTAGCTTCTCAAAAAAAAAGTTATATAAAGAGAAAGTGTAATTTGAGTATAAAGTCCACAGAAAGAGTTAGAAAGTTATTTTAAACAAAAACATCACATTGTACCCTTATCTGCAGGAAAAAATGCATAATAAAAAGGAACGCAAATTTCCTGACCTGACTGAATGCTCACTGTTCTCAAAATCACATTAAAATTATGAAGATAAACACTCTGAGACTGAAAGAGAAGCCAAGAGAAGAACATGAGCTTCCACTCGGCAGGTTGTCCCACCGGCTGGGTGAAAATGACAGGAAGGACTTCACAAAACCCTTCCAGAAAACAGTATCGTCTTATTTAACCCACATGTAGACACAGTGATCCTGTCGTTTGTCGGAGAGTTAACAATACATTCATTTTTAAGTATTTTTCTTCTCGACAGGAAGCCCAGATATTTTCTGAAGATGGATTCTTGGCCTATCAGTGAATGGATTTGGCCTTGCTCCCTAAAACACACCTTCCTCCCACCCTTGCCTGCCTCACACCTATATGTCCTTCAACACCCAACTCAGGTGTCACCCTCTCCAGCCTGTGTTAAATGTCCTTCCTCTATATTGCCATAGTGACCTGTCCTTGGACCTAGTCATATGACCCACTTAACAAATATTCACTGAGTGTCTCCTCGGGGTGTCAGCCACCAGTTTGAGGTGTTGAGGGTACAGCACAAAATTCTAAACCGTCTCTCGACACGCATTCTTGTGCAGGAAGACAAAAATTAACATAATAAGTACGGTTTGTGGAGCCTTACAAAGTGATGAGTGTCGGGAAAGAAGAAAAACCGTAGAACCCAATAAGGGGCATCAAGAATGCTGGCAGGCGGTGGGGCTGCAGTTTTAAATAAGATCTGACATTTGGGCAAAGACTTAAAAGTGGTAAAAGGGGAAACCCTGGGGCTCCTGGAGAAAACATTTCAACAAAGAGAAGAGTCAGAGCAGAGGCTCTTGGCAAAGTGTTGCTGGCCTTGCAAAGTAGATCGCTGAGTCTGGGATGGCCTGATTAAAGGCGGCTGTAGATGATGAGGTCAGAGAGGCGATGGGGAATGCATCATGAAGAGACACGAAGACCACTGAAAAGTTCTGATGTTGAGGGTGATGGGGGGGCACTTGGGGGGTTCTGAGCACAAAGTCCATGACCTGTTTGAGGTTTGAATAGCCTCACTCTGACTGCAGCGGGCAAAGGAAGAAGTCGGATGGCCAGGGGAGGCCATGGAAACAGCCCAGGAAGGAGGTGACGATAGCCTGAATGAACAGTGAAGACAATGAAAAGGGATCTGATCCTGGACACATTCAGAAAATGGCTGTGGGAAGACAGAAAAAATGGGATTTGTTAACAGATTGCAGGTAGGAGACGCGAAAGTCAAAATAAGGCTGGGTGTTTGGTCTGAGCTTGCGGGACAAATGGAGTTGCAAGAAATTACCGTAGTACTCAGGACACCACAGTACAGCCATTGTTTTGTTTTGTCTGTGCGCTCCATTCACCCTTGGGTGTCTTGAGGGCAAGAACTATTTTCTAATCATGTAGAAAATGGCAGTGCTCACCCTTGTTTGGTTCTCCGCTGCTCTGAGCACATGGAAGGATTACACTTCCTTCCCCACCTTGCCGTGGGTAATGGGGTGTAGCTGCAAGTGTTAGAGGTTACTTCGGCGTTGGGCATTTAATTGCTCTTGTAGGATCCTTACTGTTTTCCTCCTTGTCCCAGTGACTGACTCATACGTTCAGGTAGTACAGGCGGGCTTCCTGAGTGACTCTGCGGAGCGGATCCCCCAATCACCTCTGTGAAACGCGACTTTTAAGCAAGAAACACAACTTTGTCCCGTGAAGACACTGATGCTGTGTTGCTGTCTGTTTCTAACCAACTCTAATACAATCCAAAGCCAGACACAAGTAAGTCAGTAAATACTTTCTGAATGAGTGAATGATTACATTAACCCCTTTATCCTTGATTTGCTCCATATGACAAGTGCAAATTTTACCAATAACTCAGTCGTACATATTAGAGATAGAAGAAAGTCTGTATGGGTGGTTCAGCTGCCATATAAAGCGTACCATTGCCATCACCACACCCATGGGGTGGTACTGTTGAACGGTTACTGGAGCTGAAGCAGAAGAACTACAGGAAAGAAAGTCAAAGAAAACTTCATTTATAGCCAACATCCACTTCACTTTGTCCCCTTCAATCAATGATCCCTGTAGGACGCCGAACTGATGCCCCGGGAGATGTCTGAATGTCCATCTTTGCTGGAAGCAGAGGCACCGATGGTCATGTCTCATCCAGTGACACAACCTTGTAAGACAGGCGATTTCTCTCCATTTCCTCCAGCTTCCACAAGCTGAGGCGGGGCTAACTTGCAAGGTTCTCTCTTCCCTCCTCTGCACACCCAGTTAGCATTTCCTTTGATCACAATTTTCTCAGCCCCGTGCAATCCCTGGCAGTGTCCCTGGGTGGCTATTTCTAAACAGCATAAAACACACATTCTGTCAATCCTCATTCGTGGTCGTCGTGTTCTATAACGTCACGGGAAATGCTCAGTTAGCAAATACTAAACCATTGCTTCCAGGGGAAACAAGTATTGGGCTTCTGAGAGCCTCTGATCACAACATCTTTGTCAACTGATCAAGATGTAACCTTGTTTTATGTGCGCTTCCGTTTAAAGATGCCTTCTTTAATATATATGGCTGGTTCATTAACATAGAACTCATGGCCACCAGCGCTACAGCTCATGCTGGAACAAAGCTCATTCAACACGTTTCCTCGGTAAGGCACATTGCAGCCTCCTTGCACCTGGGCAGCATGGCAGCCCAAAGCTGTGGACCATTTTAAACAGGGAAATCATTAGGGTGCCTGGGTGGCTCAGTTGGTTAAGCGTCCGACTTCAGCTCAGGTCATAATCTTGCTGTTGGTGGGTTCGAGCCCCACACTGGGCTCTGTGCTGACAGCTCAGAGCTTGGAGCCTGCTTCAGATTGTGTCTCCTTCTCTCTCTGCCCTTCCCCCACTCACAGTCTGTCTTTCTCTCTCTCAAAAATAAATAATAAAACATTAAAAAATTAAAAAAAAAAAGATTTTCAGGAGGATGTGATTTACCTGCAGGTAAGAGGAGTTTAAAAGAAAGGGACAAACTATCAGTTTCACCAAAACGCAGAGAGCTGAATCGTGTGGACTGCAGAGGAGTCCCTACCAAGGGGAGGTTCTGTTTGTTTGGCTATTTGGGAGGAGGAGAAGCTGGTCATTATAACGGCATTCTACTTTTGCTTCACTTGAGTCAAAGCTTGACTTTTTGAGATGGAGAAATACAGATATGTTGTCAAGATTTGTTAAAAGAGATCTTGGCAATGAAATACTGAAAACTGACCTTTAGAGTTGGAATGATGATACAAACCTCTTCTTAGTGCCTGTGACCTTGTGATTCGTAAAAGGAAATACATATTTGGTCTTTGTTCACTTCTGACACAGAATGCCTAAAACCCTAGAAATTTCCTGTGAGGAGGGCAATAAAGTTGTCTTTTGTTATGTTAATCAGGTGACTCCAGGAAGACACCGAAGGCTGAGGGCTGGTTGCCAGGGGAACCAACCACATGACTGGAGAGGAGGGGAACTTACAGCCCCCATCCCCCAACCTCCTAGGAGGAGAGAGGGGCTGGAGGTTGAATCAATCCCAAATGGCCAATGATTTAATCAGTGCTGCCTGTGTAGTGAAGCCTCCCTAAAAATCCGAAGGACCGAGTTGGGAGAAATTCCAGGTTGGTAAACAGGTGGACATTCAGGGAGAGTGGTGTGCCTGGAGAGGGCATGAAACCCCATGTCCTTTCCTCACACCTTGCCTTCCTTCTGGTTGTTACTGAGTTATATCCTCCTACAATAAATATATGATCTATTAAGTAAACTGCTTCTCTGAGTTCTGCAAGCCACTCTACAAATTAATCGAACCCAAGGAGAGCGTGGTTGTTGGAGCCTCCTATCCATGGCCAGTGGGTCAGAAGCACGGGTGATGCTCTGAACTTAAATGGGCATCTGAAGAAGAGGCAGGTGGTCTTGTGAGACTGAGCCCTTAAGCTGTGGGATCTGATACTATCTCTGGATAGGTGCGGTCAGAATTGCGTTGAGTTACAGGACACCCAGCTGGTGTTGGAAAATTGTTGGTAGGGGCAAACACCACTCCAAGGCTGGAATTGGTCTTCTTACGCCTTAGCCAGTCAATCCAAAAAAGGTGTCAATTAAGTATCTGTGGCCCTCTTAACAAGATTAATTATTCACTAAAAACAAAAATGACCCAAGCAACCTCTAAGGGCCGGAAAGTATGCCAGGCTTCAGGCACCCAAAACTGTCTAAGAGACATGACCTGTGGTTATAGAGCTCATGGCCGAGTGCAGAATTTGGACCCTCAAGCAAATGATTATCAAATGTGATGAGTGTTATAAGGGGCATGTCCAGATTGCTACGGGAGCAAAATGGAAGGAGGGATTCATTTGGTCCAGAGGGGGTAGGAAATGTCTCACAAGGAAGTGGCTTTAAATCCACACCAAGGGGATTACAGGAGCTTGGCAGATGGAAAAGTGCAGGAAGGTCATTCCAGGCAGAGAGCAAACTGTAAGCAAAGGCCTGAGGCACAGCTTTCCCTGGTGTCTTCAGGAACAGGAAGCAGCACCAGATGGCTGAGCCGGCAGGGGTGAGGCATGGGGGCAGGCTGGAGCAGGTCGGGAAAGGTCTCAATTATCAGGATACGGGACTTGGCTACCATCCCCAGAAGAGCAATGAGCCACCAAAGGTTTCAAGCCAAGGAATAACACTTTCCCACCAGTGTTCCAGAAGATAACTCTGCTGGCCATCCGGAGGATGACCTAGAGAAGAGAGACACAGGAGGAAGGCAAAATCTCTTACAAAACCCAGGTTAAAACTAACAAGGATTTGAACCAGGGCAGAGGCCATGGCCGTGAGAGGCAGGTTAGCTGTAGGACTATGAGGGCTGACCAGATGTGCAGAGCGAGGAGGAGGGGGGTGGTGAAAATGCTTGCAGTTTCTCTCAGGAACTGGATGGAGTCCATTAATTAAAATCAGCAAGGGGTGCCTGGGTGGCTCAGTCGGTTAAGTGTCCGACTTCGGCTCAGGTCACGATCTCGCGGTTCGTGAGTTCGAGCCCCGTATCAGGCTCTGTGCTGATGGCTCAGAGCCTGGAGCCTGTTTTGGATTCTGTGTCTCCCTCTCTCTCTGACCCTCCCCCATTCATGCTCTGTGTCTCTCTGTCTCAAAAATAAATAAACGTTAAAAAAAAAATTTTTAATCAGCAAGTAGGTATCAAGACTGGGGCCCTTTAGAACGGGTTTGGTGGGGAAGACGATGGCATCAGTATTGAACACATCTAACTTGGGATTCTGTGCGTCAGCTGGAAAAGGAGACCTGCGTGCATATCTGGCCTGGCTTCGTGGTCCACCGGAGTTATAAATCAGATGGCTAGGCTGAGGTCCTTGAGGGCTACAACAGGGCAAACAGGGACAGGGCCAGGAACATCAGGTCATAGGTAAAGAACTGAAAGTAAATGAGGTGCAGGGCACCTGGGTGGCTTAGTCGGTTAACGGTCCAATTTCTGCTCAGGTCACGATCTCACAGTTCTTGAGTTCAAGCTCCACGTCGGACTCTCTGTTGCCAGCACGGAGCCTGCTTCGGATCCTCTCTCTCCCTTTCTCTCTCTCTGCCCCTCCCCTGCTCTCTCTCTCTCTCTCTCTCTCTCTCAAAAATAAATACATAAACATTTTTAAAAAAAAGAAAAAGGAAAGTAAATGAGGTGCGATTGCTAGAAATGAGCATGACCTTCACACTTTCAGGTACTTCTACCAAATGCCTGATGAGTGGGCCCTCACTTCCTTACATACATGTACAAATGAATGCACATGTACATATGCACACATGTGCACACATCACACGCACACACACCCCAGGAGGAAAACACAGCCTTTCAGCAGGAGGAGCCACACAGCCCAGTGAGTCAGCCTGGGTCTCTTCAGGATCTTTCGGGAGTAGAACAACCCTCTGTACACACTTGTAGGACAACTGGGTGAACAGAACCGTCCTACCGCCAGGGCTCACGTGCATACAGCCCGTCCTAGTTTCCAAAGCCCTGACATTCTCACCGCAACCACAGAACACTCCTGTGCAGCGTCACCATCTCTAAATAAGGAAACTGAGAGTCCAAGAGATGTAATGACCAGGAGCGAGGTCTCCTGACTGTGGCAGGCAGTTCCCACCGGGGCAGGATGGAATACAGTGAGTACAGTAAATGCAAACGACGCCCGGCATCTTCCCCAACATGGGGCATCGCTGTCTTTATGCCGCTCCCCCCCACACACCAGCCAGTTCCAGCTCCCCAGCCCCCCGGGGCCCCTGTTTCAAAGCAGAGCTGGGCAGAGCTAACCACACATCCGTCAGGCCAGGAATTGCAGAGGAACGTACAGCCCAAGAGAGAGCGAATCTGAGCATCCGCGTGACAGAGAAGATGAGAATGAGAACAGATTTGTGTTCAAACTGAAAGAGAAGAAACAGGAGTGCAGCAACATCTTTTTGCAGCCAGTTACCAAAGGGGTCCAGGATTGTGACAATCACGGGCCCCAGCGGCCAGAAGACACCAACCTCCAGCTGCCTCTGGTCACTCAGCAGGCAGTCCAGCAGCACAGGCTCGCACCTCCTGAGTAGTGTTTCCCAACGGGGAGCATCCCCCACGCCGCTGCCCTCTGACCACGAGGGGACCAGGGGACAGGAGGAGGCAGTGTCCACGTCCGGTAAAGAACGCGTCTCACACTCCAGCCGGGGGCTGCCTGCTGCCATCTGGGCAGGGTCGGCCAGGCTCTGAGCAGCCTTGACGTTGAAGTGGGGAGAGAGAAGTCGAGGGTGTGCGTGGGGCCTGTCCAAGCTGGCGTCCTTGGCTTCCGTCTCCACGGGGCTCTGACAAGGGGCCTCAGCATCTCTGGATGGCAGGCAGCCTTCCGCTTCCCCACGTTCCCCAGCAGAGCTGAGCGAGAGCCGTATGAAGCTAAAGCTGGAGGTGAAGCCATCCTGAGAGCCGGCCGGGGCAGAGGGGACCCTGGGGCCACTTTCAAGGTTGCACCTGCTGCCATTCCCCTCCTCTGAGGACAGACAGCCTTTTGTCCAGGTGCCCTTTGCTCTTTCACCACTGGCAGCTTCCCGGCCAGGGCCTGGGGCCTCAGAACTGTCCATGGGTGGGAGCGCCCCCTGCCACCCAGTGTCCCCAGGGCCACACGACCTGGTGAGCCTGGCAGGTAGTTTGGTGTCAGCTCTGAGCTGAATCCCAAAGAGCCCCGAGGGTCCCCTCACAGCGGTCAGAGCCAGGCCTGGGTGGCCCACAATGGTCAGAGACGAGGCTGCTGGGCTCCCAACAGAGGGGCCTTGCCACTGGCCTCCAAGTTCAAGGCCACAGTGTCTGGCCCTGGACTCAGACTGGAGGGACTCCTCCCCGCACGCCGCTCCCTGGGCCCGTAACGGAGTGGCCACTGCTGGGTAGAGAAACCCGATCTGGGGCCCAGCTGTGCCTCTCATGTAGCCCGGCCTCCGTGCCAGCCGCCTCCTCCGAAAAGACGCTGCAGGTGGTAAGCAATCCCGGCTGCCTGGGAGGAAGAGAGAAAACAGCACCATAAACATGCAAATCTCACTGGCTCAGCTGGAACTGCATTTGGAGAGCATCCTAGGTTTAGAGGTCACCGCTCCGTGCATCTGTCAAAGAAGATGCTGGCTCAGTGGTCACAGGGCCAACCCGGGACGAAAATTCTCATGATTCCCTCCAAGTGCTTGCCTCGAACGTGCAGAAGCAACACAGCACCTCAGCTCTTCTGTTTAGCAGAGCAGCTGGCGTTGCTTTGAGTTATGCCAGCACGTCAGCAGGCCCAGTGGAGACACAACCTCGGCGGCTCCTTCAGAACCCCTCCGGCATCTTGCCTGTTGGGCTTTTAGGCACATCAGCACTTTTATCCCAGAGTGGGCCTGGAAAGCAAGCGATTGGAAAGCAAATGCCAGCACACTCCTCAAAGTGAGATGCGATCACTTATTCTAGCTACTTATTGAACAGTATGTGAGTTTTCACTATCTGAGCTGTCCATGTCCCCCGTGCCTCTGGACCATGGAGAGCCAGCTGGGACACAGCTTATCCCCATCAGTTCCTCTCACACAGTGGATCACAGGAGGCCCTGCCTGACATGCTCTACAAACCAGCTCTGCAAAAGGAACAGAAACGGTAAAAAACGCTAACACCTCACAGGCGGGATCGTAGAGCAGATGAGAACATAGACTCAGGCACCTCACTGCCTGGCTCAAAACCTGGATGTGCCTTTGCTGGCTGTGACCTTCCACAAGTTACTTAACCTCTCTGTGCCTCAGTTGGCTTATCAGGAAAATGGAGATATTACTAGTACCTGTCTCATCACAGGGTGGTTTGTGAGCATTTAACTAAATGAGTTACTATGTCGAGACAGCCTAGAACAGCGCTTGCCACTGGTAGTAAGTATGATAAAGGGCTACTTATTATTTTTACACTGCATAGGATGTTGTTACTCATAATAAGTACATCATCCACATTAATTTCTCTTGCTCCCTACCAAAATCCTGTGAATCAACCAAACCAGGAATTATAACTTTCTTTTTACAGTTAAGCACACTGACACACGGAGAAATGGATATTCCAGAAACCCCTGCAAGTGACTGAGTGGCCAATGTCAAAGTCTCCCGATTCTCCAGGCCCACACGGTGCTGTCATCGGGCTCTCTGCCACAGCATGAATCAGATGAGATGGAAAGCATACAGGTAACACCAGGCAGTACTTGAGCACAGTTGTAGGTATACTACGGTCTGTGGTGAGGAGTGAAACACAGCTTCACACCAGGCCCACGCATCCTGCTCTGCCCCCAGAGCATGGACAGGTCCAGGATCTTTGTCATGGTAAATGGAAAGTGCTAGGCATTTAGGCTCTCCGTGTGTTATGATCGTGGCACACACCAGTCTTTGGAATGGGTGTCAGTGATAATCCCTGGGGACATGAGCGCAATGACCCATGGGCCACCTGTTCCCTGAATTTGAGCATCAAAGGACAAGAGAGCCCAAGACGTGTTCAGCCAGTGTCTTCTCTTGCCAACCGGGCGTGCCAACTGCCTGGTCCGGGGGAAGGGCTGATACCACCCGTGTCCATAGGATTCTGGAAGCTGGCAGTGAAGGGAGGAATGTAAGGGCTATGAGGGTGGGAGAGGAAGTCAGGGTAAAGGAAGGAAGTATGTAACATACAACCCTAGGAGCATGATACCATTTTCATTTTATAAATAATAAAATTAAAGCTCAGAATTTTAACTTGCCCCAGAACTCCCAGATCATAGCTTACCAAAGCCTGTTTTGCTCATTACGAGACAATAAACCAGCACAATGCCCTGCATTTAAGTTGCTTGATAAAAGGCGAATGAATTAATGGATGCATGGATGAAGGGAGGGAGGGATGCATGAACGAAGGCCTATCTGGTTCTAAAACACATGCTCTTCCTATACCCTTTGCCTCCAAGTATATCACTTAGGATGAGAACTTGAAATGACAGGAAGTCAGAAGAAAGATTGACTTTCTTTTTGTTGACAGAGGGCATGCAAAGTTGGAATCAGTAGAAATGGACATGATGAAAATGTACAGAAAATGTTTAGAAGGAATCATTAATAGGCCAAATTGGACCACCCATTCTGATGGTTACTATCAAAAAAAAAAAAAAAAAAAGAAAGAAAGAAAGAAAAAAGAAAAAGAAAAAGAAAGAACACCAACAGGGATTAAGGAGGGCACTTGTGATGAGCACTGGGTCATGTATGGAAGTATTAAATCGCTATATTGTATACCTGAGACTAATATTACACTGTAGGTTAACTAACTGGAATTTAAATTAAAACTTAAAAAAATTATGAATTTGAAAATGATTTTTAAAAATCAGAAAATAACAAATGTTGATTAGAATGTAGAAAAACTGCACCTAGCGTGTGCTGTTGGTGGGAATGTAAAATGTTTTCAGTGCAGCTGAAAATAGCATGGCAGTTCCTCAAAAAGTTAAAAATAGAATTACTACATGGTCCAGAAATTCCACTTCTCATTATCTGTCCACAAGAATTGAAAGCAGAGTCGCAAAGAGATATCTGTACAGCCATGTTCGTAGCAGCATGATTCACAACAGCCAAAGGTAGAAGCAACCTAAGTATTGATGAATGCATAAACAAAATGTGGTCAATTCATACAATGGAATAGTATTCAGCCTTAAAAAGGGAAGAAGTTCTGACACAGGCTATAACAACTTGGATGAACCTTGAGGCCATCATGCTAAATGAAATAAGCCAGTCACAAAAGGACAAATACTAAATACTGTATTTACATACATATATACATTTATATACGGTGTCTAGAGCAGTCAAATTCACAGAGATGGAGAGTAGAAGGGTGGTGGCCAGGGGCTGGGGAAGAGGAAGTTGGTGTTTCCTGGGGACAGAGTTTCAGTCTGGAAGACAAAAAAGTTCTAGAGGCAGATGGGGCTATAGTCGCCCAACAATGTGAATGCCATTGAATTATACACTTAATAAAAATGGCTAAGAGGGTAGGGGCGCCTGGGTGGCTCAGTTGGTTAAGCCTCTGACTTCAGCTCAGGTCATGATCTCATGGTTTGTGAGTTCAAGCCCCATGTCAGGCTCTCTGCTGTCAAGGTGGAGCCTACTTCAAATCCTCTGTCCCCTTCTCTCTCTGCTCATGCTCCCCAGCTCATGCTCTTTCTCTCTCTCTCTCTCTCTCTGTCTCTCTCTCTCAAAAATACACATTTTTAAAAATGGCTAAGGGGGTAAATTTTATGTTCTATGTATTTATCCCAATTAAAATTTTTTTAAATGTTTAAAGAGGTCAAATTGGATCACCATGCTATGTGGCCCAAAGGGCCTCCCATTCTCTCCCTCAGGGGTGTCACCATCTGAGGATGTCCCCTGCATGTTAGGGCCCCAATCACAAGAAGAAGAGGATTCATGGGGCCGTGGGAGCTCAGGAGGGAGCAGGGGTTGGCTAAAAACAGGGGCTAACTCTCATATGCCCATACAGTGAATCCCAAAGGCAGTAGGGAGAACACTGAATTCTGGCTCCAATTACCAACAGAAAACAACTCAGCAATTTCCTACCTTGAGAAAGGAGTCCTGTGATACCTATATTGTCTTCTGGTTTAAAAAGACTTTTAACTATTTTTTTTTAATGCAAGGTAATTGTCTCCCAGATAACCCTTCTAAAGTCGAAACAGCGATGCCAAGGGGAAAATAATTTCTTTGAAATGTCATTTCTTTTACAGCTAGATGAGCCTTTTCTAAAGCTACTCAACCGAGGGTTCTGAAATCCCCCTAAGCCAGGTTACAGATGCTGCACAAAGCAGCTACCGGATGGGAACCCACGTTCTTACTGGGTTCTGGTGAGATGTCAGGGGGCCACCGTGCTGCATGAACAACAAGCCAAGAAGACCAGACATGAGAAAAATGCTCACCAAATGTGGGTATGAGAGAGGAGGGCCTGGTGTGTGGATGGCCCAGCTCCTGCACCCACCGGACCACTCATACATCCCATCTCCCAGCGTGGGCCTTCTCAGAGGGCAGCCCAGGAGGCAGGGACCACCACATTCTATGAACCCTAACCCGCAGGAGAGCCGGATCTGGAGGGCACTTCTGGAATGAGCTAGAAGGATTAGAAGAAACCCACATTGGGCAGATGGCAGCTCTGAAACTTCTAGAAAAGACCCCCAGTTCCCTGTATGCGAAGTCCCCTTTTTTCACTTTTTTTTTTTTTCAATTTTTAATTTTTGAAGAAATGTATGATGTCCCCTCTGGCGAGAAATCAATGATTACCATATATCCAGGCTGAGATACTACATCTTAGATTTGTTCAAACCCAAGCCGTCCATCATGCCCTGCCTGCAGTTAAGGAAGGGTTGTGACACATTCAGACCTTGGAGGACAACATTCGTTCCCAACACCTAACTTCAGGGTGGAGCAGGCAGGAAGTAAAACACGGTAAGGTGCAGGGAGGCCCGAAGTGCACTCAGGCTTTGAGAGCTGGCCAGGGAAACCAGCTGTGCCTTCTGTTCTTTCACCCAGAGATGGCTGCATTCTGCCCGTCTGGCCCTGGACAGGCTGAGGAGGGAGAGGTGCCTCACGTGGCCTTCTCCGTCCCTCACAGCCTCCCACTCCATAGTAGACGCTGGGGGGAGGAACATAGACCTGCCGGTCCCTGGTTGTGCAGAACCCCCAACTCCACCCCCCCTCCAGCCCAGTGAGCTCTGGGATTGGAAGCAAGTGAAAGACAAGAGCTTAGAATAGACCCAGGTGTCAGAAGGCCTCTACACACAGTCCAAATAAGGTGTCTGGAAACATGAGCTTATCTAACTTATGGGGAAAACTGGGGGAAACCTAGGTTAGTCAACCAGTCAGATCAGAGAGAATCCTATCTACCTGTCTCTAGGGCTTTCCTTCTTCCGGACAAATCCTTCCCACCCTTCAGCTTCCAACGCCCTTCCCCATCAGCTCCCTTGTCCTGATCACCCAGTTCACAGGGCTTCAACAACGGTCCACATCACTCCTGCCCCTCTACTAACTAACACCCAGCACTGCTTGCTATTTTCTTCGGTGTATATAAACCGTTCCCCTCTTATGCTCTATATAAGCTTCCTGATACCCTTACAATTCCCTAAAAATCCTAGTGTACAGAGAAGGCATTCCAATACACATTGGCCAGATAATATTTATTTTTAAATAGGAAATCTAAAATATGTAATTTAAGAAAACACGATACATGTGAATTTACTTGGAAGAACTTAAAACCAAGACCCAAAGTTCAAACCTACATGAAGTGCCCATGTGGGCTTGGGTGACTCACCAATGATTTGATGATCCCAGGGCCTTGTGGGGAAAGCATGTCTGTCTCCCGAAGAAGAAATACGGGCACTCGGGGCCACTGCTGAGAACACAGAGAATAGTCAGAGAAGAATAGACACATAAGACTTTACAAAACACGACTTGGATAGAAATGTACAGTGTGGAAGCATAAATGAATGTATTCTTCTCATGGAAAGAATTTTAATCCTATTTGTCATGGTTGAGGCCGAAGTCTTTTCTAAAACATTCAGGTTAACCAAAGATTCTGAATCGTAAAGAAACCACACATCCCTGTGGATTAGCTTGTTTTCAAAGAATCAGAATCCAATCATATACACACTAAAACACAAACACTCTGCTGAGCACGAGTTCATCTTTCTTCGATAGTTCAGAGAGCACTTGAGGATTCGGAAGTCACTTCGGGTTGTTGTGAGAAGCTTCTAGCAAGCAGGGAGAGTCCTAGTGTGGAATAAATCAACATTTATGGCGCTTCCATTTTAACCGTGCGATCTGTTTTAATACAATTCCTTATTGAATGCTAGATTCTGTGTGGGATGCGGACGTGAGCAAGACAGCACCCCCACGTTTGTGACCTAACAGCTTGCAAGGGATGTAAGCCATGTCCCAGGACGGGATGTTATGCTTCCATCACAGAAGAGGGAGAACTCAATCTGACATTAGATGAATGGGGTAATCTAGTTGGCTTTGTTGGTTTACCTCACAGTTCTTTGCCCTTCAGCAAAGCAGAGGCTCTATGAACTCCAGAACACTCCTGAATTCATGTCACCCCAAACAAACATCTCTTGGGACTGGCGAGAAGAAGGGTGATTTAGAGGCCTCTGGGACACAGGGCAACTCTAAGGAGCAGGTCTGTGCTGTGGTCTGAGACCTTCTTCCTCCCACCTCCCTTGCAGCTTCCCTGCCTGTTCCTGCTCCCCTCCTTTAAAAAAAAAAAAAAAAAAAAAAGTTTGTTTATTTTGAGAGAGCGCATGAGCAGAGGAGGGGCAGAGAGAGAGGAGGAGAGAATCCCAAGCAGGCTCGCACTGTCAGTGCAGAGCCCAACGTGGGGCTCGAACCTGCAAACCGTGAGATCATGACCTGAGTGGAAATCAAGAGTCAGACACTTGGGGCACCTGGGTGGCTCAGTGGGTTAAGCGTCAGACTTCAGCTCAAGTCACGATCTTGGGGTCTGTGAGTTCAAGTCCCATGTCCAGCTCTGTGCTGACAGCTCAGAGCCTGGAGCCTGCTTTGGATTCTGTGTCTCCCTCTCTCTCCGCCCCTCCCCACTCATGCTCTGTTTCTCTCTATCTCTCAAAAATAAGTAAACATTTAAAACAAAAAAATTTTTAAAGAGTCAGATGCTTAGCCAACTGGGCTACCCAGGCGCTCCTCCCCTCCTTTACCCTGCACAGACGGGCAGCTCCCTCACCCAACCTCCTGCATGTCTCACTCTGTCTTGATGTCCGCCTCTCAGAGAACCCAAACCGCACCCTAGAGAAAGCACAGCACGCAGGCACACATGGCCCTGTCTGCTTGTGGTTTGCCATCTTTGGGGGAGCAGAGAGAGGAATCAAACATGCACACAGGTAGGTCTGGCGGCGGGGGGATGGACAGGTCCATGGTGCTGAGCCATGGTGCTGAATGGGGCACCTGGCTTCGTCTGGCAGGGTCTCTGAGTGACATCTGGCTGAGCTTGACAGATGAGCAAGAGGTGTAGAGGTCACAAGGGACGCTGCGGGGAAGAGCCAGAGAGGAAGGAACAAGGCCAGCTGGTGGCGTGGTGTGGAGGACACTGCTGATGGGCAGGGGCGGGACGGAGCTGGACGCCGCTGTGTGTCCTGGCCACATCCAGCCTGGGCCTTTGCCTGGAGAGGGATGGACGGTCTTTGAACGACCTGAAGCAGGGGAGGGGCATGATCAGATCTGCACGTTTTGACAGATCACTCTGTGGAGAAGGGACCACACGGAAGCAAGAGAGGCCACCAGGAGAACAGTTAGAAGACACCACACAGGAATGCCTGGGTGGCTGAGTCAGTTAAGCAACCAAATCTTGGTTTGGGCTCAGGTCATGACCTTGAGGTTTGTGAGTTCGAGCCCCAAGTCAGGCTCTGTGCTGTCAGCACAGTCTCCCACCCTCTACCCCCCTTCCCCAAGCAGTGTGTAGACACACCAACGATCGGGGGCCGAGCGAGTGCTCTTGTCAATGAATTCTCCCAGCAAAATTATCACCACAGGCTTGCTGACATGTTGTTCTTCACAAGCTGACACTCTCCATCCCTTTGAAAGACAGATTGTTTTCCTAGATGGGATTGTTCACCAGCTGCTCGTGGTGAGCACAGCCACTTCACCGTGATCTAGCATTTCCATAATCTTCAAAGCCACATGCACTGCGGGTACAGACAGGTCTGCAGGGCACAGCCCTCGCAGCCAGCCGCTGGGAGTTTGTGACAGCAAAGCTCTGTCTGGTTTCCTATCAGCCTCGTGGTCACCCAGATGCCAGCATTTGGACTCCCAAGCTGCAGACATCACTTCCTATAATAGCCTCACAGTCAAAAGGGACAGGTTCCACCCAGAATTGTGGCGTAACTGGCAAGAATGTCAGCCCTGACTGAGTCAAGGAAACTGACAAGATGGCACTGCCTGGAACACAGGAGACAGGTATGTGCTAAAAGTACAAAAATGAGCAAAAGAATGATAGACACAGCACAAGCTGGCTGGGGGAGGGGACATGATTCACGAGGGACTTCAAGGGTAACGTTCCATCGCTCAAGCGGGTGGTAGTTACGTGGGCGCCGACAATATATGCAACCTATGAATAACAGAATTTTTATAACTGTGAGGTAGTCTGTAATGCGTTTTCAGTGCCACAGTCCCTGCCCTCAAGGGGCTCACAGCTCGGTGGACAAGGCAGAAACGTCAACAAGCAGATGCAGAATGGGCCAGAAGCAATCCTACCACAGGAGGGAGGGAAGGGCCTCGTGGAGGAGCTGACCCTGCCGCCGAACTGAAAGACTGAGGCTACGGAGGCCATAAAGGAGGTGAGGTCACTGTCAGTGGAGGGAAGGAATGGAGGCAACAGCTCAAAGAAGTTCAAAATGTCTGGGGCCCAGGCAGGCGTGGCCCCTGTGGAGAAGGAGGCAGACAGCAGGCTGTGAGGAGCCCAGGTGGCAGACAGGTGGGGCTGGAGCCCAAGGCAGGGCCCTGTGCTGGAGAGAAGAGAGGGGAAGCACAGTTGGCTGGTGGAAATCCATACGAGCCTGTGATGCCACCTAAGGAAGAATTCTGGAAAAAGAGGAAGCTGGGGGAAAGAAGTGACTGGAAATGACTGAGGGTAGCCATGTGGGCTCCAGGACGTGTGGGCTGTGGGATATCGGTGTTGCCACGTGCAGCCCGATGCGTCTGGCACCATTCTTGGTGTGTGGACACTAGTCACCTCTTGTCCTCAGTTTTAGCTCTCCAGTGGAAACACTGAATGGTCCCCAAACTTGGCTGCCCAGCAGAGTCACTGGGGTATCCTTCCAAAATTCCAAAGTCCCAAGCTGATGAAATCACAATGTTGAGGCATGAGACTCAGTGCCCCCAGTGGGATTCCAGTGGGAAACCAGGCCTGGGAACCTCTGCTCTAGGAGAAAGTCCTATTTAACATCCTGGTGTGCTCAGAATCCAAGTGCGTCATAAACAACGTTCGCCACACCACAGAGAATGTTGCTTTGCAGAATCTTCTCTTTCCCTTCAACTTTTTTGTTTCTTGAAATGTGGCTGTTAGCTGTGAGCCTCTACACGTGGACAAAGTGTGGCTTGAAGTTAAAATATGTCCCCGTACATCTGTTCTAAATCTTCTAGCCTGGATAAGGCTCCCACTTTCAGTCAAACAGTGGGAGTCCTGGGCCCCACAACATGCTCTCCCACAAGGAAGGGGCCAGGAGGCAAGCAGCTGCTGTGAGCGGTCTCACTTCCCTAAGACGCAGGGAGGGGAGCGGGGGGGCCAAACAGCAGGTCAACATTCAGCCCACTCTGGAGTGTAAGGGCCAAAACCCACGCATGCAACATGCACTGTGGATTCTGGACTAGATCCTGCAACAAAGAAAGGATATTGGTGGAAAATCTGATTTAGATCTGTAGTTTAGTTCGCTGTACCAGTGTCCATTTCTGAGATGTAATAACTGTGCCATGATTATACAAGCTGTTAGCATTAGGGGAAACTGAGGAAAAAGAACCCTGTCATGTCTTTGCAACTCTTCTATAAATCTGTAAGTATTCCAAAATAAAAAAAAAAAAACTTATTTAAAAAACAGGTACACAAGTGTGCACACACGGTTTATGGACCTGTACCTTGCACTAGGAAAGGTTATGGACTCTGGAGACAGACTGCTGGAGTTTAAAATGTAGCTCTCCCAGTTCTCGGTGAATGCTGTTCACCAGCCTCTCTGCTTGCATTGTCTTGTTCCTTAAAGGGGGCTCTAGTTCATGGAATTGCTGGAGAGAGAGATAAGATTATGAACTTCACTGCCCTACACCATGCCTGGCACAGAGTAACCATTCAAAAGCTGTTTTTATTTTCAACTCAGGAATAAAGGCAAGAATATCATCCTGAAGCAAAGACACCTGGACATGGGCACCTGGAGGCAGAGTTCAAGGCAAATCTAAAGCAAAGCAGCCTCAGGCCTGACTCTAAGCCTTTTTCTGTACTGTTAGTAGACTCCTAGAGGCCAATAGCGATCTGTTCTTTCTCTGTCTCTTTCTGTGTGTGTGTCTCTCTCTCTGTCCTTCCCTGTCTCTGTCTTTCTCTTTCTCTTCTCTCGCTGTCTCTCTGTCTCTCTCCCTCTCTCATGCACACGCGCGTGCGCACACACACACACACACACACACACCATCCAGCACAAAGTCACAACCTATACTCTCTTGCCAACCAATACCTTCCTACCTCTCTGATCCACTTTTCTGTGTTCTGTTTTCTTTTCTTTCTACGCCTGGATTTACTTCCTCCAGCTGAAGCAAGTGGTTGAGGAATTTAGCAGCAAGAGATTCACAGACCACGTGAAAGCGTTTGCTCTGAAGTCACTGAACAACCTCTCTCCGCAG